CACCATTGTCAACCTGCATTTCGGCACTAATACTACAAGTTTCAGTTTCAGTTTTCTTCCCTAAATGAGAATGCAGTTTCTATTCTTTCATGTGTTTTGAACAGGAGTTTTACAAGCATTTTCACCGGCTATTATGACTATCAATTTTACTACCATCATTTTAGTATTTGTAGTTATAAACACTAATAAAGTCGACTATGAGTGCAGATGCCTTTTATCTTGACTTTAAAAGTTCTAGGTTGTCAGTTTATTTACACTGAAAATGAATATCTTAACAATACAAGGGATGTATTTGACCGGATTCGATTATATCTTCTTCAGAAATACATACATCAAAGGAATTATAGAATTATAGGGTTGCTTTCGGGCTGCTTCTTGTCTCGTATTATGTCATGTATCTTTTTCCCGGATGTACTGGCGATTTTCACTGCATTGCCGAAGTATCAGCTGATCGCCTGGGAAATGTTACACGGCGGCAATATGATCAAATGACTAGAATAGGGTGCAGGGTCTGATCTTGCGAGTATATTCGCCTTCTTTCTGAGATTTAGTAGGAAGCCTCTAGGATATTTATGTTTTGCAAACACATGGAACTTTGACAACCGATTCCATGCCTAATGCATATTAAGTACACAGTCACATGTAATACCTTTTTGGAATCATATATCAACTGTAATTTATAAACAAGACTGACAAACAGACGGAACACAAACGCAATTGTGATATGTTGTAGCAGCCACGACCCACAAACTGCACGAATCGGCTCAAATATTTCCCTGACTGCGTCACACCAGGTCCAACAGCCTTGTCCTCGTTCTTTCACAAGCAGGCACTTCTCGCGACTCCATGCCGAGACCTGTCTAGTTGACAAGGACACCTCTCGGCTCTCTCATTGGACTGCAGATTCTACTCGTTCCCGGTTCGTTGACTTAGCTCCCAACTACTTCAGCTTCGCGAACCGGGATCATAATTCAAGAAGCACCTCCGCCGAACAGTAGCAACACAATAAGAAAATGTGAATTTGGTTAAATAATTGTCTTTACACTTCAATTTCCCCACAAGTGCTCAGTCACGAAACTATTTACAAATCTTACCTCTCTCACCTCTACTCTTTGCTTTGATTTTTGGAAATATTCTCTTTTACCTTATATTAGTAATTAGTAATTAGCTATTAGTAATGTTATTGTTTACTACAGTAGCATTAGTGAAATATCGCAGAATCTTTCCGAAAAGTCAAGGAAAGGGGAAATCTAGTAACATCACAAGGTTTATGGGGAGGTCTATGTATATACACATTTCACCAAACAAAACTTCAGTGAACATAGTAATTCCTGGTGTATATCTGAGGTCATCAGAAAACATTAAAGGTCCATTTTTGACGAGAAACGCAAGCAAGCTATGGTTTGGTTTGGCCTGTTTCATCATGCTGAATCCGTCATAGTTAATCCCAACACCCAGATAAATGTTAAACAAAATAAACACTCACGGTAATGACAGATACCTTCCACTGTAATAATCGTGGGAGAAAATAGAATGACCACACTTGTTTCTAGTAATTTAAAATTATATATTTGTAAAACTTGAGAAAGAAAAAAAACACTCTTCGAACATCCTAGGGATGGCCTTGATTTAATAATAAATGAAAATAAATACATTGGTACATTCCAATTAATATTTCTGGTTGGCACCAACATTATCATTATTATTCGTAGCCTATAGTATCATCTATTGGCTTCAAAATAAGTGCTAACAGACTAACGGAATTATAATACAGATATATATAGTAACATACGGTATATATTTCAATATTTAATGATGGTAATATTGATGACAGCACCAGAAATTATATAACTCAGGTACACATCCTCCACTTATTACTGTTACTACTACTATAGCCACTACCATTATTACTGCTAATATTACTACTACTCTTGCAACTCCCGTACTACTGTTGTTACTTAATTTAGTAGTCCATCAAAATGATGAGCCCTCACCTTGATAATGATGCATGGCCAGGTCAAAGCTTAGAATAGTTTAGTGGTAGGGAGCCAACGTCGTCCCTATTGGCTTCACTGGTGGTTCCGGAGTCCAAACTACATGGCACATCACCTCCGGGAATGGGCATTCTGTGCCCGCTCCTTGAGTTCTTCTTGGCTATGGGTATTATGGTAGATGGTTATGCTGCATCTACTATTTTGTCTGGTGTCTTATCGTTTTATGGAGTGACTGTGTGGGTGTGAGTGCCCACAGGTATGGCTGGGTGTTGGAGGCTGAAGTTAGAGATCTACGGGGGTACCGGTAGGCTTCCCAGTAGGCTAAGGACTGGGCGGTCTTTGGGTGCTGCCGCTGTGGTCTTGCACTTCTGGAGACAATATAATTACGATTTACGAAGTTCTAGCTTCGCCCGGGCCTTCTGGCTATGGCCCGGCCTGTGTAAGCTTTTTATGGCTGTCTCCTTTTGTCTTCTGACACTTGATGCTTACCGTGCCGGTGGGATTGCCAGCAGGCGCCCCTGCCGCCATGGTGTAAGCGTATCGCATAGCCTTTTTACCAGCACGGCGGCTGTTGTAGATGGTCCCTGTCTCAGGAATTGTCTATGCTCACAATTCTCTAGGTAATGTACAAGTGTGACGTTCGGCTCGCCGCAGTGCATGCAACACCTCTCTTCACGGTCTATGGTCTCAATTATCTCCCATGCACAGTGGAAACCTGGCCGCATTCTGTGAAGAATGACTTCGGTACCTCTGTTGATTATTTCAGAGAGTGCCAGTGGTTCATAGCCAGCGAGCCTCCCACTGCCACCAACATATATACCAGACACCTGGAGCTCCTTCTCCTTCGTTTGTTACTACTGTGTTGCCCTCCTTGGGTCAACACTTAAAATTAGGGAAGAAATCAAAGTTATGATCAACTTTCAAGTTAATTTAGCTTACTTGCAGAGTACAGTAGAATCTAACGAAAGTTAATTCTTAGTCCGGTAGCTACCACTACATGGTAAAATGAAATTGGTTGCTTTATACAACCAAATTATATCCACTATTAATACGTGGGTTGGTTACTCAGGTGATTTAGAGTAAAATAATAATTCAACTATAAAAAAAACAAACACTACAATCAGATCACTCACCCATACGTATGTATCTCCAATGAGTAATAGACAACACAGTAAAAATAAAAAAAATAAAATAAAAATAGTAATGGGGAAATATCAACTCATCTCAATCACACACGCGGGCATGAAGAAGCTGCCACGGCGACCCCTCCAGCATCTGCCATTCCCCTCTCACTTCTCGTGAACAAAATCTGCTCTGGATAAATTATCTCTGTTCTCCGCGGACGACGAGAGAACAACCGATACAGACCTGCTCCGTCAGCGTGTGGATTTCCAAATAAAGTCCTTTATCGTCACGAATTTAAGGGAGCGTCGTAGGGACGTACCCACACGGAGGCTGGAAGGGAAGAGAGCGAGGCGCCGGCCGGTTACCCACGCCAAGCTTCCAGAACAATTCGAGCACGAACGGAATTTTTTTTTCTTCTCTACACAATAAATCTTTTGTACACATTTTTTTTCCTTTTTTTGCTTACAATTCCATATAGTTTCTCTCTATAGGGAAATGAAGGCGGAAATTGGTTACGAAAATAAGATTTACGAATGCGGTTTCCTGGCTGAAAAATTACCGCGCAATACAAAAATAAGCCGTGATCCAAAACCGTTATTACACTATTACTCATGTATTATGGCAAACAGAAGGGTTGCGTGCAATGCAGTATGATACAGTCCATCAACTTTGTTCACGTTTCTCCTGCCTTAAGGAGTTATCCAAGGTAGACAAAAGAATGGTGGGTCTTAAATCTACTCTCGGACCAAACGAAGAGAGTTTCCCTTATTGAAAACGTCTGCAGAAACTTTTTTCCCTTTCTTTCTTTTACGTTTTGACTGATTATGTCATTTTGGTACCATAAAAAAACAGAGTTTAGTGAATATATTGAATTTAACATACTATAGTCCATCTGAAGTATCATGACATCGCCTTTTTTTGTAAAATATAAAAAGGATGGTGGAGTGAAAATAAGACCAGTATAGGACCCCATATGTGTACATGTATGTGTGTGTTTGCATGTATGTGCGTGTGTCTTTATAATACAGTGTATTCAAAAGATGATTCCTTGAGAAACCCGCTGGTTTCCCCGGTGGTATTGCATGAATAATGTATCAATTTACTCAGTCAATCTCACAAATGAAATTACAACAATTCCTTGATATACATATATATGATATACATATATACACACATATATGCATATAATATAAATATATATATATATATATATATATATATATATATATATATATATATATATATATATATACATATATATACATATAATATAAATATATATATATATATATATATATATATATATATATATATATATATATATATATATATACATATATATATATATATATATATATATATATATATATATATATATATATATATATTTATATTATATGCATATATGTGTGTATATATGCATATCATATATATGTGTATATATATATATATATATATATATATATATATATATATATATATATATATAAATATATATATATATATATATCATTATTATTATTACTATTGTTATTATTATCCTTATTATCATTATAATAATAATAACAATTATTATTATTATCATTATCATCATTGTTATTATTATTATTACCATTATTACGTCTAATAACAAAACTTATCGTTCTCATTACTATAAATGAAAATCACATTACGAGTATTAAAGGAAAACAATATTCGCATTCATCTTTGATCAAATGAAACCACGATATTTAACAGCCACTACTCCCCTACATTATTCTGATAGGTATTTCAATTTCTAAATCAATTTCCACCGAGTACCCACGGGGAGTGTGTGTGTAAGACCTCGCTATCATTATTCTTGTATGAGTAGATAGGCAATGTCTATGGAACATGCAAGAGGCTAGTTGTAGATAGGCAATATCACTGGGCAGTACACCGGTGTCGAACCCTCCTCAGTTGCTGCCTTTACCGCTGGACCAGTTGAAGTCACTTGAAGAAGCAAGGAAGTATGGACCATAGTGCTGGAAGATACAGGATGGTGCAATGTGGATCCTGTTTCTTGACAGATACAGAAACAATGCGACCATTGATTGGAAATGCAAGCT